GAGGGAGCAGTAGACCAGATTCCTGAGGGAGAAGAGCTAACCATGCAAGAGAAATCTTGTTTTCATTATTTTTGGAATGATATGGAAATTCTAAATAAGAAACTTAAAGTGTGCCAAGTCTCTTCAGAGACTGACAAAATAATTAGTACTAATGTTTCTGTTGGGTAATTGTTGTCAGTGTGGGCTAACCTAGTCACCTAAGTAGTAGTGTTTGGGGGAGGGGGTCAGTTAATGAAGAGTTCCGAAAGGTCTCTTCTTTTGGTGGTAGTGACTGGAGGGAACTGTGACATGGGTTACACTGTTCTTTGACAACAGCAAAGTGAGGCTAGGATGAGCCCCTAGACTGTAGGAAACTGTGGTTCAAAGTATGTTGGAAAAGTCATGTGAATATAAAAACCAAGGTAAAGAGGCTTCAGTCATTTTCCCTTTGAATTGAACTGGGGGTAGGAAGCTCACTCAGATGTGTGTGACCTTTGGTGGGAGGGCTGCATGTGCTCCAGGAGAGCTGTGAATGCCACTCAACACAAAATTGTGAATGTACTTAAATCCATCTATATCTTATTTCATTTTAATTAAAAAAATCTCAGTTTGCCTAATATTCAGCCTAAAGCTTTATAAAATTTGTTTGCCCATTTGGAGAAGATAGTAATCACAGGAATATAGGAAAACGTTATTTCCAATGAAAGATGGTTTTATCCACTCAAGTTGTGGTTTCTTGGCTAGTATTAGGCTACTTGGAGAAGCTGGTGGTATGGACAAGAGTGTTGCCATCAAATTTATGTCCAAATCCCAAAGACCAGTTAAGGAAGGTGTTAAGGTGTGGTGTTGGAGAGTTACTTCTGTTTTATGTCACTCATACTTTGTCTTTTTTTTTTTTTTATCTTTTCCTTGTAATGCTGGGGACCAAACCCAGGGCTTGTATATGTTAGGTAAGCACCTTATGACTGAACATCTCCAGTTCCAGGTATTCACATTTTATATTCATACCAAGTTCAGATTCCAATGGTCCTTGGTGAATTGGGTTAGCTGCGAAATGTCTAAGTGAAGGTCAATTAAAGAATATCTTTTATAGTTGAGTTTAGAGAGAGTGCTTCCTTATCACATTTGTAATATTTAATTTTAAAAGTGATCTAGGAAACATTTCCATTTTATCATTCACTTGACAATATAGTAGTCCCAGTTCAAGAAAAATTAGTCCAACTGCTTGTACTGTTGGAGCCTCAGTCACTATACTTAAGGTTTTCAGAACAGAATATTATATCTATATCCTATAACATTATATACTTACAAATTTTTGACGTATGTAGATAGTGTGTATTTGTGTAGTTTTTTTCTTCCTGGTAAGATTGAAAGCACCTTGAGAAATACCTATGTTTGCTAGTTTTCTTTGTTTCTGTTTGTTTTGTGTGTGCCACCCTCCCCGCCCATCAGGACCCTCATGCATGTTGTCCTTTGACTACTACATGCAGGCCTTGTGTGTGTCTGTGTGTGTCTGTGTGTGTGCGTGCTCCTAGGATGGATGGATGGATGGATGGATGGATGGATGGATGGAAAGATAAAATGAGATAAGAAAATACAATAAAAATTAAGAGATTCCCCTTTAGAATTTTGATTCATTTATAAATCAGCCAGTCCAGTGGAAATAGATAGATCTAAGCAGTCTACGTGTGAATCTCAAGACTCACACTTGAGAGTGTGGTCCTCTTCAAATCCAGATGTTTCATGTGACACACCAGAGTCATTCTTAATGTGAACTTTACTGGAGAAGTAATTGTCATTCAACCTTTTTTCCTTCCTTGTTTGGTAGAGGCCTTCTTTAGGCATTAGGCTTACAGGTTGATGTTACCATAGCCTTCCACAAGATGGCAGACCAGACTCCTTTTGTCAGTTTTTAACACACCTTGCTCATGCCCTTGATTACTTTAAACATTTTTTTCTTTTTCTTTAGATGGGCAGTATCAAACCGAGAAATGCTCATAGCCCAAAACAGCTCCTTGGAATTCAAGCTACACCGACTGTATTTTATTAGCTTGTTAATGGGTGGAACTACAAATCAGCGAGAAGCATTACAGTATGCTAAAAATTTTCAGCCATTTGCCCTACATCATCAAAAAGGTGAGTCTGGGGTCAGGCAGCTTTTATTCCTTTGGGGTTTTTTTGCCGGGGGCGGGGGGCAAGGCAGGGAGGGGAGTACAGGGAGTTGAGGCAGAGTCTAAATATAGCCCAGGCTGGCCTCAAATTTGTGATCCTCCTGCCTCAGCCTCTAGGATGCTGAGAGTACAAACCACCACCCCCAGCCCGACTTGAGTAGAGATTTTTAATGTTTAAAGCAAGTCAGCCGCCGCCACCCCTGGAGTAGTTTGTGTTTGTTAGTAAACAGTCGGGATAATCACTTCCCAAAAAGTTCTGACTCGCTCTGGAGTAGTTTGTGTTTGTTAGTAAACAGTCGGGATAATCACTTCCCAAAAAAGTTCTGACTCGCTCTAAAACAATAGTGAAACAATAGTAGCATGTAAAATGAAAATTCAGAAGGAGATGCTGCAGAGTTGAGGACTTAACAGAGGGAGACTGGGCAAGAACTAGGTATATACTTGCTCTCTGCTTGTTCATCTCTCACCATATGGTGCTGCTGCTGCTGCTGTTGCGATGTGTCAGTGTGGGGAGTACTGGCTAGTTCTTCAGCAAATATAAGTGACAGCTTCTCTCCCCATAGCCTCCTCCAGCATACTATGTGTAAGACTAGAAAACTGGGAGTTCAGCATTCTCACCTCTTCCTTTTTTGCTTCTCTTCTTCTCTATGTTAGGTCTTTAATTTAGGGTGAGGGAATTTCTCAACCAAGCTTAAGGACCAGAATGTTTACCTTATTTTAGGCTATATCACTGAAGATGGAGATATCCTAGTTTCTTAACCTGTTATTCACAAGTAAATGCTGCTTCAGATGTGATTATCCACACCTCCAAATTGTTGGTGTGTGTGTGTGTGTGTGTTTTTTAAGACATTCAGGTGTTGATGGGAAGCCTGGTGTACCTGAGACAAGGGATTGAGAACTCACCGTATGTTCACCTGCTTGATGCAAACCAGTGGGCTGACATATGTGACATCTTCACACGGGATGCCTGTGCCCTCCTGGGGCTCTCTGTGGAGTCTCCTCTCAGTGTCAGGTGCGGAAGTGGGCCCTTGGCTGTTCTGAAATGGGTACTATACTGGGCAGTTTCTCTTGTTGCCTTGATGATCGAAACCAATAGATTGGTTTTTCTTTCTGAAGATGTGTGCAGTTGGTATATCAAGTGATTACCACAATTTTTGGTAGTGACAGTTTTAGGGAACTCAGAGTCCAAAACCCTTTTCCACTGCTGATGTTTGCATAGATGGTACAGAAACAGTCATGGGTTAAATTCGAGCATCTATGTTGTCAGGCAGTGATGCCAACTTAGAGGTACTTGTATTTTCTTTACTACCACAGTGGCTGCCTAAGAAATGGGTGTTGAAGTTAACAGTGGTCTTGATGAAGCAGTAGATATTTGCTTTATTAAGTGTTGATATTTGATTTTTTTTTTGAGACAGGGTCTCTGCAGTTCCAGCTGATCTGGAACTCACTGTTTAGACCTGGCTGGCATGGAACTCAGAAAGATCCTCCTGCCTCTGCCTCCCAAGTGCTAGGATTGAAGGCTTGTGCTACCATGCCCAGCAAGTATTGACATTGAGTATCCATCTTTTTAATATTCTGTGTGCTACGATAGGAAATTTTTACAGAGTACTTCATTTTCATGGCACAGTGTGATGCTTGTCTTGGGAAAAATCACCTGTATGCTGAGTTACAAATCATCATCTTATTTGGAATGTGAGATAATTTGCAACAGACACTGTAATGTAATATGTTAATGATTTTTAAATGAATTAAACAATACCTTTTAAATTTGTTTTAATTTCTGAGACATTAAGTAATAAATATACGCCATAAAAAACAATCAACAGTTATTCACTCTCTCGAGTATTGACAGCCATTTTTCCAAATGCATGGAGTAAGCTTGCCACCTTAAGGAAAGTAACTGCCAGTATATTTTTCCATGTGATAAAGACCAAGATTTTAGGCTAAAATCGGAAATTTGGACAATGAGCTTTTCATTTTCAGCTTCAAATCATAAAGGCTTTTTTGATGAGATTCGTGGTAGTACTAACAAACTTTTAAACAAAGAATTTTATGTGTATGAGTGTTTTTTCCTGGCATGTATGTAAGTGCACCTGTGTTGTGCAGTACCTGCAGAGACCAGAAGAGAATGTTGGATCCCTTCGAACTGGAGTTATAGATGGTTGTTAGCTGCCATGTGGGTGCTGGGAATCAAACCTGGGTCTAACACCCAAGTGTTCTTAACTGCTGAGCCATCTCTCCAGCCCCCAACAAACTTTCAAAAAAGTGTTATGCTAAACTGGAATGAAGCTCTTAGAAGGACTTAATACAGCCTTATAAAATTATGTATGGGTAGAGGAATCATTCACAGAGTTGTGAACTCAGACTACCATATTTGGAGACACAGTGGCACTTAATTCCTGCTTTTATCTCCACCCTCATTTGAATTGACAGAATCATACTTCTTTCAGTGATGACTTCTGGGCCCAGAAGGACAGCTAGCTCAGTGGTTAAGGTTAACTTGGGTCCTTTTAGAGGACCTGGGTTCAATTCCCAGCACCCACATGGTAGGTAACAGCAACAGTAACTGTAGTCCCAGGGTATCTGATGTCCTCTTTTGTCTTCTTGGGCATTGTACCCACATGGTGTACTTACATACATGTAAAATAAAATACTCATGTACTTAAAAAAAATTTTTTTTATATTTTAAATCAATGATGACGTGACTGGAGAGATGGCTCAGCAGTTAAGACCACTGGCTGTTCTTGCAGAAGACTTGGGTTCGAGTCCCAGCACCCACATAGTGGCTAACAACCATCTGGCACTCCAGTTCCAGGACATCCAACACTCCCTTCTGACCTCCACGGGCACTGCACAGTACAGGTGCACTTACATACATGGAGGCAATACACTCACACACATAAAATAAATAAAAAAAAAAATTGAGCTGGGCATGGTGGCACAGTCCTTTAATCCCAGCACTTGGGAAGATCTCTGTGAGTTCGAGGCCAGCTTGGTCTACATAGTGAGTTCCAGGCCAGCTGGGGTTACTGGGAGACGCTGTCTCTAAAAGACCCCAAAAATTTTTAAAAAATCATTGGTGACTCCTTCTTTTAACACTGAATGCTAAAGCTGCCTGCTTTCTAATAGAACGGCTTGTTTTTCTAATTATGGGGAATTAAATTAAAATTAACCCATCTTATCAGAAAATTGTAGTTTTACAATGTTAACTTTTAAGTTTGCTCTTTTTTTTTTTTTTAAGGATTAAAAGACATTTTTGTGTATATATGTGTAATATATAGACTCACATGTGAAGAGGCCAGAAAAGCATGTTGGATCCCCTTGAGTTACTTACAGGAGGTTGTAAGCTGCCCAGTAGGGGTGCTTAGGAACTGCCAAACTCCAGTCCCCTGCAAGAGCCACAAGCACTCTCAAGTGTGGAGCCTTCTCTTCAGCTCCACTCTTTATTTTTCTTCATTTCTCCCACAATGGTCAGATTTATGTAGTAACTATTAGGATTTTGTTTTTAGTAGGGATTGTTTTTCAGTAACTACAGGAAATACGTCAGTGGGTCTGAGGGGTTAGAGGGGGAAATCAAGTTATTTTTTTTTTTCTAGTGGAAACAGTTGTATTTGCCTTCATCATACAGAACAGAAGCCTCTACACCCTGGCCACTCACCAGGGCCTACACACATGAACTCTGGCATTGTTGGTGTACACTCCCTGAAACCTGGCTGGCACTGATGTTTCCTCTTTTGTCCTCTCAGTTTCTCAGCAGGTTGTGTGGCGCTGCCTGCGTTAATTAACATCAAAGCTGTGATTGAACAGAGGCAGTGCACTGGAGTTTGGAACCAGAAAGATGAATTACCTGTGAGTTCTATGAACTGATTACCTCTCTTGCCATAGAACATGAATGTTTTAAGAGTTTAAAATGCCTATCATGCCATTTAACCAGAAACACTATTTTAATCATCTGGTAGTTGTTTTTTTTTTTTATTTTTTAATGTGTATATGAGTAAAAACTAAATAAGGTCAGGAGTGTAGTTTAGTTGTAGAGTGTTTGTCTAGCAGGCATGAGGCCTTGGTTCCAGTTTCTAGTACCACCCCCCAAAATACCAGTTAACTAATTAAAATAAATATGAGGAACATAGTACCTTTTGGGGATGCCGGAGGGGGCTGGGAATATGCACCTTTAATACTAGCATTCTGGTAGAGACAGGCCATTCTCTGTGAGTTAAGTTCCAGGCCAACCTGTCTACATAGTGCATTCTAGAGCTACATGGTGAAACCCTGTAGAAGGAGGGAGGTGGGGGGAGATTAGAGGATTTTGTCTAAAGTTTAGACTTAAAGTGCCAGTGCAGGCTTATGAAGGCATAACTTAGAAGTAGGAGAGTCGTGCATGTTGTAGCACAGATTGCCTTGTATTGTACCTCACTTCTCTGAGTAGTATTTTGTTCATCTCTTTATGGGACTACAGAAACCTAAAGGTGACAGCTGCATTGTGTCTGCTGTGGTGCAGTTATGATGTAGAGTATATGTAAAGCTCATTGTGTGTGTTTCCTCTGGCAGTAGAAACTAAGACTCTAGCCTGGAATTCCATTCCTGTGACAGTTGTCATTTTTCCTGAAGGGCTCAAACATGCCTTTGGCTTTGGGCTTTTTGGAGGGACACACCTGCACACACGTTTGTCTGCAGTTACTATGTTCTTCCAGCTGTAAGCCTGTCAGTTGGCTGCCCCAACTTCCTTTTGTGATTAAAGGCACAGGTGTCTTCCCAGTCCTGCGTGTGGTCAGGATACAGGCAGCACCCTGCTCCACTGCTGCTAGCTTGAATAAGTGAAAAGAATGCACTTCCTCAGTCATGTGCCCAACTTCTGGCAGTTTCCTGGTTATTCTGTAAGCACTTTTGCGATTTATACAGTGGTATAGAACAGACTAAAATCTGAGTTATTCTGAGTGACAGCTTGCCCATGGGACTAGTATAATGACTAGAGGTGGTCGGTAATCTGAACTTTTCTCAGGATTGCATTCATACACCTTTGTTATCTTTTTGTTATTGCTCTTGGTTTTGAGGTAGTCTCACTGTGTAGTCCAGGTTTGACTTTGAATTTGTCTGATCCTCCTGACTCAGCCTCCTGTACTGGGATTATAGGTATGTGCTACCATGCCTGGCATTCTCTGTGGATTGAACCCAAGGCTCTGCATAATAAGAAGATACTCTTTACTGAGCCCCAGGTTTAATTCCCAGCACTGTAAAAAAAGGACAAATAGAAAACTTGGCTTCTTACCTCCCTGTTGGTCAGGTGTTTTCTCTGGACCATTACACATAAAACATAGGAAATTAGATCTAAAACACGTAGTAAATTAGAGAAGTTGTAGAATTTTATCACTTAGCGAAATGTGCTACATACAGAACAATCAGGGTGTGTAGTGGGTTTGCTCCTAGGTACATCTTGATGGTTTTCCAAGTGTTCAGGCTAGTGGTGGGGTGGCTTAATGTTGGTCAGACATGGACCAGGCTGTGAATTTGACCCCTGGCACCACTTTAAAAAAATAAGTGTTTGACTTCTAAAGCATCATCTTGCCTCTTGCCTCTTAACCCTCAGACCTCAGAATTTGGAGTGAAAATATAAATAATAGGTCTAGCTCATGTCAGCCTGACAAATGTTCTTGCTACACAGTGCATGTTAACATGTGGATAGGTTTCTGAAATATAACTAGCCTTTGTACATTTTTCTTTTGTGAACAGATTGAAGTAGACCTTGGTAAAAAGTGCTGGTATCACTCTATATTTGCCTGTCCCATTCTTCGTCAGCAAACAACAGATAACAATCCACCCATGAAATTGGTCTGTGGTCATATTATATCAAGAGATGCCCTGAATAAAATGTTTAATGGTAGCAAGTAAGTATCTTGACTTTTTAAGTGTTAATGAGTAAATCTTTTACAATTTGGTGGGAGGATAGGAAGTAATGAGGATAAATTAATGTAGCTACATCTAGAAATAAGTTTCTTAACGGTTGAGACAAAATGGGTGACATCTGATTTCTTTCATTGAATCTACTCATGGATTTAGTGACCAGATTTAGAAGTGTGGTCTGTTTCTTTGGGTGGGCACTACTCCCTCAACCCCCAGGTTTTAAAGTAGTCTCCTGCGTACCTTTCTGTATTGTTTTTTTTTTTTTTTTTCACTTAGGGTTTTTTGGAGATCTTTTTATGTGCTACAAAAAGAGCCCTTATTATTTTGTTGTTGTTAAAGCTACAGAGTAGGTTGGCTATCGAGTAGGAGCTAGCGAGATGGCTCAGCAGTTAAGAGCACTCACTGGCTGCTCTCCCTGCATTCCCATGGTGGCTAACATCAAGGTCCAAGGTCTGTAACATCAGTTCCAAGGGGCTCTGACACCAGCTTCTGACCTCCAAGGGCGTTGCATGTCTGTGCTGCACTTATATAGATGCAGGCAAAACACTCATACATATAAAATAAGAATAAAATAATTTTTAAAAAGAATCTTGGAAGCTATTTTAGCTTAGACAGAAATAGTTTTACTGGTATTCATTTTGGACCCATTGTGTGGTAAGTACCTTTCCTGGGAAGTCTTTTGTCTGAAAGAAGCTGTTTATGCCTTGTCCAGACCACACAGCAACCCTTACAGTGCATATCAGTGGTGACCTTTGTTCACAGAGAGCCAGTTTCCTGTGCCACTGAAAAGTTTGTGGGCCAGTCTTTTTGCAGGCTTGGCAACTGGAGTCAAGTTAGCTGCCCTTGAGTAGTAGATTGTGTAACCCACATATTTGAAATTCATTTAGGGGCAGGTAGAGTGTACACCTTGAAGAATAGAAATTAGATTTATTTCTGAAACCCAGGAATTGTTTTAATAAAAATTGTCTTTGTTTTGCCTGCAAAGCAGTTTTCACCACGTTGAGGAGGCTGTCAGGTTAAGATCTGGTTTGAGCGTTACCTTTTGTGATGCTTCAAAGCCTGGCAGTTAGTCTTCCAAGCAAAATACACATGTGCTGTGTCTGTGCATATGTTGTAGTCGTGTGTACAGTTATTGAGAGACACTCCACAGCTAGGTGGAGATGGAGTGCTCAGCACTGGCTTGTCCTTGACTTAATCTTTTCTCGCTTGTTTTTAGATTAAAATGTCCATATTGCCCAATGGAACAAAGTCCAGGAGATGCCAAACAGATATTTTTCTGAAGAAATGAGTTTAGCTTGCAATTTGTAAGTGAAAGTGAATTATGGGTGCACTTGAGAAGAGAACGTTCCATTGACTGCAGCTAAACAAGGACTGCCGTGTTTCTATAAGCCACTGCTCCGGAAGCTCTGCCGCCACGCTAGTGTGCGCAGGGAGGGAGCGCTCCAGACCAGTGTCAGTAGGGCTTTATTACAGTCTTGATCTTCATTTCTGATCAAGTGAATACACCAGCAGCTGTCATTCGATGCAGGTTTTTGTACTTAATTATATGGTAATTTTTTTACTTCTTAAGAGCAGAAACAGAAATTGACCTCCCTGTCATGTGTTTAATAATCCTCCTGCTTTTACTTTTGTCATTTTTTGATAATTGTAAGCCTGAGAGTGTTTGTGGAAGAGCTTCTTTACTGTTAACGTATACATAATTAAATGAAAATTCTTCATAGGAAGTTTGACAAATTGTGATTATAAAACTAATTTCCTTTCTTTCTTTTTTTTTTTTTTTTTTTTTTTTTTTTGCTTAAGGAAAAAGCTGTGATAGATTCCAAATTTGCTTTGCTTTTCGATGTTTCCTCTGCCCCAGCTCTCGCCTCAGAGTCCACACACCTGCATTTGAGCTTTGCCTGTAGCCCCAAGCAAGCTGCCTCTTTAAATCCCATCATGAATTTAGCAGGCTGGTGTGAGTCTTCTGCTACAACAAAGTGGAAGAAGTATTATTATGTGTTATTTTTGTTTCTTTTGTTTTTGCTTTTATTGCCAAGAGGTGCTTTTTTAAAAAGTGTTCAATAAAACGAAATTCTGAAGTTAGACTGTTCCTGAATTGATATATTGCTCTCTTGGTCTTAGTAGCCTATCCTTTGAAATCTGCCTTCAGGACTTGACTGGGTGTCACATTTGTTTATCATTATCGTGTTGTGCACGTGTGCGTGTGTGTGTATGTGTGTGTACATATATGTATGCACACACAGACACACATATATGTGCACCAGTATCAAACATTGTGTATCTGGAAGGGACGAAGCATGTTCCAATTCTAAAATGTAGTTACCAGACTCCTCACTTTAAGTCCTTAAGGTTAGACTCTAGCAACTTCCTGTACTTTGGAATATGTTTACTGCTATTTTTGTGTTTGATAAGTATACTGCTCATGTTTCCCTGCATAAGTGACGTATCATCTCATTGACTGTGAATCTGTATATTACTCACATAGCTACAGATAATGATCTTTTCTCTTGTGAGGTATCTTCACTTAATGCACTGTCCAGAAAGTGTCACGTGTAAAGAGTCTTTCTCTGTATGAGGGACTACATGGAAAAGACTTCTGTGGATATAAGTCTGACTTAAACCTATGAAGTACTTCATGAGAAGATCGCTTCGTGGAAATCACCAAATATTTTGCAACTTTATTTCATCTGACATGGAACTGAACTGAATCAACATAGGAATACTTCCATGAGAAAATGAAAAGATGTAAACACAGAAACAAAGAGAAATGTGACTCTTCTGTTTTAACTACAGATGGATTTAGTTTAAGAGAGTGGGGATAACAGCTCTGGTGCTAAGTTAGTTGGAAATTAGCAACATTCACAGTAGCATCAGCAGCCTGGATGGTTTCTCCTGAAATGTTCACCTGGGAGAGCTGGGATTTGCTTGTGAAGGAAAAATACTTCAGAAAAGCCCTGTGTATTGACCAAGTAGTCAGTTTCATGTTGATTGCTACTATGTGCTATGTAGGGTAGCTAGGGATCATGATCGGCCCAGCTCAGAGTGCATGCTTTGTTCAAAATCAGTCTGGCTCACGGTGACTTCTTCTTTGCTGTTGGTGCCCTCTGTAAAGTCCCCTGGCCCCCACTGAAAGCAGTAAAGAAAAAGCCTAGCCCTCACTGGATGGGAGAAAAGGTAGAGTGCCAGACAGTACCCTGTTGAGAGTGTAAACTCTTTTATTATATAGATTTTTTTCCTTTGAATTTAATTCTAGGATATCAGGCTTTTTTTTAAACTTTGTTATTTTTAGGTCAAATTTAGCTTTTTTTTTTAGCCCCATAACTTATTTTTACCTTCCCAACTCAAATATCTACACAACATTTAGACTTCACATAAGGTTTAAGTGATACAGACGTGCTCTTGAGGCTGGTGGTAAAAATAAATATTGGCAGCAGACCCTTCACACAGTTGACTCAGGCCACTTCTAAGGACAGAGGATCTTCTTGGTCCTTTTCTTGGTGCTGGGAGACATAGTGACAGTTTCTTGTGAAGCTCATGAAACTTTAAAAAGTACATGCTTTAACAAGCATTTGACTTTACAGCTTCCTATGTAAGGTCCTTGTAGTTCCAATAGGCAAGAGGACAAGGGCCAAAGAATTGAAACTCTTGATTAACAATTTACCTTAGGTCTTGTGCTGTTTCAGTGCACGGACTTAAAATCTGTGAGAGACTGTAGCAGAGGTGGATTTGAAGAGGCCAGACCTTAACCAAAGATGCTGAAGTACAACATTGCTGCTCTAGAAACACCTCACGGTGGTATTAGGGGCATGCCGTTGTTGATGCTGCACACATACTAGCATGCAAGAGGCACCGGCTGTCTCTTTCTGCCTCCACATACGAAAGGTAATGATAGTGGCAAGGATTCATATAGTCAGATGAGTAACATATGTTAGAAACAGTCTCAGAACAATTTCTGAAATTTCTTTACAAGCCATTTCCTTTACCCATTAAGGACAAAGGCTACAGGACTCTGCTAAACCATTAAAACCTTATTAACAAATCTTTACATTCTGCCGTGGCCAGTGCACAAGCACAGTGCCTCTCCGTAATGGCTAAGGTTGTCTTTGATCTTTTTTCTCCTTTTTGTGATCATCACAGATGCCATTTCTGTTTTATTGATGATTATATGAGACTTTTAATACATAAATGAACGGGTATTGGTGCCTCTTTATTTTTAAAAAATTGAAGAAGAGAGCCACCTCATATTCATAGGGTGTGTATTTTGTGAGTGTGTGAACATTTAATTGAAAATAAGAAAGTTATGAAGTAATTTTTAAATTTTTCCATAGCAGCTAATGTATGAACTAAACCCACACCAAATCATTGTGGGAATGAGGGTCCTTTCTTCTCCTCTCCTCCCAGGTAGCCAGTCCCACAGATTGGGCAGTTCAGACTCAGTACTTATTATGCTGTGAGTTGTTCCACTTCAGTGGTTTCAGCCTTTGGGACAGTGGATATTGAAAAACCAAGAACTTTTGGTTTATCCACACAAGGCAAGCTGCTGGTAGACTACCTTAGCCTCTGCTTTTCCAGCTCAAACTCTCATAAAGTGGACCAACCCCACGCTGGTTGGTCTGTTCAGTCAGCAGACTCAGGTTATCTTCAGGGAAGGTATGGAGGCATGGTTTGTTTCATTTCATCACTAGGATGTGTAAAGTGAAGACAAACCAAATACCTTTCATCATTTAATCCTACGTACATTAACTTTGGTAACACTAGAATGCTGTGGTCTTGGGGAGCACACAGAGGGAACAGGTAGCAAGGATCACGTACAGGTTCGATGTTTCATAAGTTCTCTAGCTGTGGCGGGTTGTATGTGGTACTGTAGTGTTTACCATAAGCAGGTACAAGCTTCACAAACTGTCCATACTGACTTATAATTGGATACCAAAAATAGAATGGCAAACGTATTTTAGTAGCAGATGAGGCAATTAGTTTTAGGGTGAATTTTCTGCTATTGATTTTACTTCACGTTGTAGCAAGAGAAACAAAGCTTTGTTTTTAAGACATTTTTAGACCACAGTTGTGAGCTGTATAGCAAGTGTATGCTTCATTTACTTCCAAAGAGGCAAAGCAGCTGGAACTGGCTTACAGCACGTGCTTCATTTCATGGTATGGATGAGGACCTACGCTTTGGAATAGTAGTCTTAACCTACTCAGCCAGATGGATGTGGGGTTCTCTAGGATTTAGTGCCTGAACTTTTCTTTTGAGAAGGGGCTGGAGAGAATGTACTGGGGAGGGGAGGAAAGAAAGCAGGAGAAGGAAATGGGTGTGTGAGTGAGTGCATGTGTCAGAGTTCACCATCGCCCCGCTAGCAGGCGGCACGTGTCCCATCTGTTTTACTCATGACTGCAGTGTGCATGTAGTTTTTCCTTCGTTTTTTTCTAAACTTATACTAAAAGGATCCATCAGACCATCTTGTTCAGATGGCTCAGGATTGTATTTCTTTTGCTTACCCTGTGCTCCTGGGTTCTATGGTATTTCTATAATTACAAATAGTGTTGCACTGTAATCTATCATATAGAGCTATATGTATGGAAAATTTTGGTCAGTTTTTTAAAGAGATGTATTCTGTTTGCAAAGGCACAATAAAATTGCATCTTCTAGATTATAGGCAATAAAGCTAACAATAAATCTTATTTAACAAATCATACTCTCTGCTCATTTGATTTTGGAGAAGAAAAAGCCTAGCATATCCAGTAGTTTCAGGGATTTCATTTTAACTTAAAAGAATTCTGATATATTTAATTTATAAATTTCGGACTGATAATAGAGTTTTAGAAAACTATAAGAAATGCTTTGTTAATGTGTGTATTCCTATGTAAAAAAACACATGGCTTCTCCCGTGTATATTTTTAAAAATTAAAGAATTGCACATTTAAAAAGCGTTTTGTGAAACCAGTCTGTGTAAATGTGCCAGGTGACAGTGGTAGGAGGGGAGGGAGTGTGGCGGGGCTGACTGAGGAGGAAGCCTGTCCTCCTGCTCAGTGTTCTCATCATCAAAATCACCAGCAATGTGAGAGAGGTGCCTGGATACCACGTGGAGTTTCAGACAAGGGGACTTTGTGTTTCTAGGCTGATCCCTGCTCATGTCCGTCCTGGGTTCTATCCAGAGTGGCAGTGACTGTGCCTGGCACCAGGAGATCCAAACAGGTTGCTGGGGTGAGGATTGTCTACCTCTGCCAGGCAGGAGCAGAGGCTGAGTTTTCTGTTCTCCTCAGTTAGTAGTTAAGGCAATAGAGACCAAGAATTTGTGTTCTTTAGTATAGTTTTTTAGATGGAGAGTCAGCCATACTTTTACCAAGGAAAAATGTCTGAAATGTCCTTGTATGTCAGGCAGTCTTTCAGAGCAGAATAATAGTCTGTTCATAATGGGTTTGCCTTGGTGTCATTGAGGAAAAAAAACTAAATCCTCTAGCTCTTGTGGACTTACAAGTCACTCATTTGGGGAGGAGGCTGTTTACATGGCTGGACAATAGACTGTAGCTTTGAGCTATCCTGTAAGTACCCCTGCTGTGTTAAAACAGTTGCCAAGGTTACTTTACTATAGAAGGACTCTTCTGCCAGAAACTCTTCTTCACTTGGACCTGCAGGCTCCTGGTGGGTGACCAGGAACCTGATGAAAACGCTTGACTTCTGGCCTCATACTCCATGTTTCCTTTTGCTGCCTTAACCTCTAGGTCAGATTATGCTCAGCTGTGGGTATAGACATACTGATCATTTAAGAAATGCCTGAAGCTATTACAAGACACGGTTAACTTGGCTGGACTTGCCTAGCCTCCTCCTCTTAAACCCCCAATGAAGGCAAATGACACCTAGCAGCCGCCATGAGCTAAACCACGACAGTAGTGAAAAAGATCTCTACCTCTTCCTGGAAAGCCGTGAGTACCCCTCTCCTTCATTAGCCCATCTCCCTCATTGTTCCTAACCTGTATCTGTGACCCTGTGAGCCCCTGGAATGGAGATCAGTTGTGAACAAAGCCCCCTCTTCCCTTTCTGCCTAATGCTTGTCTCTCAGGCTTGGGTTTTCTGTGAGATAAACTTTTAGGTAGCAATATCTGGGATTACAGAGTGTTTTCTGGGAAACCATGTCTTGGAACTAATCATCCAGGTGGTATGGGTGAGACTGGCTACCATTTCCCCAACTCTTCCCTAGGACCAGGCTCTTCTAAGTGTATAATGGGATACCCTCCCATATCCTAGGATTTGGAGATCTCTATGCATATGTAACAATGGATTCACCAGGAAGGGTTATTGTTTATCCTTGGTGGGAATAAAAGTGGGGGGATCTGGAGGCTAGAGAGATGGCTCAGATTTAAGAGTGCTTTCTGCTCTTTTAGAAGATGAGTTTGGTTTCCAGAACCCATATCTAGTAGCTCACAGCCATCTGTAACTCCAGGTCCAGGGTATCAGACACCATCTTTGGCACCCATGGGACATACATATGTAAAATACATAAATAGGGAGATCCAGGCTATATCACATTAGCTATGAAAAGTTAAGTACAGCTAGGCATGGTGGCACATGCCTTTAACCCCAGAGAGGCAGGCTGATCTCTGTGAGATTAAGGATTGCCTGGTCTACATAGCAAATTCCAGGCCAGCTAGGGCTACAGAAGACCTGTCTCCAAAAAATAAAGTTTGGTCAAGTTCACTTTTTCAGCATCTGTTGTTCTTGGAGCATGGTTCTAGGCACTTGAAATCTATAAAAATGTATTCCTTCTTTGAGGTAGAGACTTACCCTATTTCACAAGTGGGGACACTGAATTACCAAGAAAGGGACATAACTTACGCATTTCCATAAATAGAACCAGGAAGCAGGTTTCACAGCCTGCATGGAGACACGGCTGTTGCTGCCACTTTCAGTTTCCTCTGGTGGAGAAGCACTGCTACAGCTTGCCTTGGGAACAGGTCAAGTGCTGCCTGTGCCACGTGGTCAGCAAATTGTAGAGAAGGATTTGAACACAAGCCTGAGCATCCAAGAGAAGCAGCTGGTAGAAAAGGGAGATGGCCAAAGACTTGAGGGAATTTCTGGGCAGGCACTCTACCAATTGAGCTGTATCTCCAACAGATTCAACAGATTAAAAGATTTTTGAGGATGTGGAGGGCTCTCTTTCTCTTTTTTTTTTGTCTTTTTGAGACAGGGTCTCCCTGTAGCCCCAGCTGACCGGAACTCCGTATGTAGACCATGATGTGATTAAAGGTGAGCGCCACCATGCTGGGTTGTGGAGGGCCCTCTTAAAAAGAAGTTCAAGCTGAGCATGGCACACACCTTTAATCCCAGCACTCAGGAGGCAGAGGCAGGGGGATCTCTGAATTCCAGGCCAGCTGTGGCTACAGGGAGACCCTGTCTCAAAAAGACCAAATTAAAAAAAAAAGCAGTCCAGGGCATGGGGGAATCTCTGTTATTTCCCTTCCAGGAAAAGGATACATTAGTGTGTGCACTTGTGTGGGCACATGCACAGGTTTGTCTGCATGTGTGGAGGACAGGGACATCCTTGGGTATCCTTCTCAGGTGTTGCTTTAGTTTGGGCGAGTGTTTTGTGTTGTTTTGCTTTGCTTTGCTTTGTTTGAGACAGGGTTTCTTACTGGGACTCTGAGCTCACCAATAGGCTAAGCTGGCTTGAGCCCCAGGGATCCTCCTGTGTCTGCCTGACCACATTGAGGATGAATTCTAGCCAGCTAAGATTACAGCCTAGTTAAGTATCTGCTATCTGCCTCTCACAGTCCAAAAAAGGTGTTATGACTACTGTCCACATAGGTTTGTAGAAGCAGTACTCCAGACTGGTAGTTGGGCCTGAGGTTGGCAGTGTGGAACTGTTGGGTGCTGCTCCTGTGTGTGTAAAGACTAAGCCTAAATTCACAGTCTGACTTTAGTGTGCATGAGATTACATGACTGTTCAGACTGACTTCCTGTTTTTTGCCTGGTCAGAGGGCTGGCTCTAATGAGTGCTTGTTCTTGTTTGTAATTTGTAAATGCTTATTTACCACTTTATGTATAAGTTGTACTTGTAAATTTTTGTGTTGCTGTAACAAAATAGAGAACACTTTTAAGGGAGAAAAAATTTTAACCCATGGTTCTACAGGGTTTTTAATACATGGTTGCTTGACTGTTTCTAAGCTAATATTGAGGCAGAATACAGTTGCAGGAGCCTTTGGAGGAGGCTGTTCATCTTACAACAGAGAAAGCAGAGCAGCTCATTCATGGTGGACAGGAAGCAGAGTAGCTGAAGGGTAAGATACAGACCTCAAAAATATGTCCCAATGACCTACTTCCATTGGGCAGGAAGTTCCATCAACTCTCAATCTCAGGTTTTGAATTCATCAGTAGATTAAACCATTCGCTAGATCAGAGCCCTCATGATCTAATCATCTCTGGAAACCATTCACAGACACACCTAGAGGTCTACTTACTCATCTAGCTGTTTCCTAATCCAGTCAGATTGACAAGATTGGCACAACTGGGCCTGCTGGTTCTCATTTCAAATCCCAGCACTGGGGAGGCTAGGGCAAGAGAATCTGACTTCAAGGCTAGCCTGCACTATGAAATAGGATGGTATCCAAATAAAGATTAGCCAGCACATAAGTGTAATCTTTTTCGTTGGAGGAATTTTTTTTAAAAATCAGTGTTTGTCCCCTTCTGGTCTATCAAGTGCAGCCCCTCCACTGCTCAGCATCTGAGCTGAAAGTTAAAGAGAAAATATGCAGTCTAGATTTTAAAGTATATACATAGGACATGAAAGGAAGAGGAGAACTATTGGGGGAAGAAAGGGAGGGGAGCATGAGAAGGTGGAGGGGGCTGGTGATTCCGAGCAAAGCACAGGCCATTTGATGTGAAGACTGAAGCAGGTTAGGAAGGGAAAGTTAAGGGGACATGAGGAAGGAAAGACCTTCAAAGCCTCTTGTCAGCTGTGAGATGAATTCCAGCACGATTGACGTTTGCTGTGACAATAATCTATATAAGGACCATAATTTATTTTACATAGAGTGTTTAAACTTAAGAATGTTAAAATATCAGGGCTCATGGGGTAGGTAAGGGCTCTCGCTTGAGAACCTGCATGGTGGGAGGACAGAACTGACTCCCACAAGTTGTCCTCTGACCCCTGCATGCAAACTGTAGTACATGCATGCACACTCATGCATACACAAACTTAAGGTCTAAGTATGGTCTTTCTCTTTTCCGCGCTGTAAACCTGCAGTTTCCTAGGAATCTCACAAGAACTGCCATTTACAGTAAAAGATGTGAATGAAAGTTCCCAGAAAGAACCTGCATCTTGAAACTGAACTTTAAAGGCTGATAACTGATTAGAACTTCAGTGATTGTGGACAGTTTGGAATGTTGAAGGCCCAGAGCCTAATTACCATTGATCTCAGGCCACCTTTAGCCCCCTAAATAGCCATTCCTTGCCCAGCTCTGTTTCTGACTTAACGTCCTGTGACTAATAGATAAAAACCTTTTGAAATATATTAACTTAGCAGACCACCAGCGTCTACCAACCAAAAGGCTGAGTGTCATCAGGTAGCATCCAAAGCCTATAGCTAAGATTTCTTTTTTGCTATAAACACCTACTTAATGTTTTCACCAATGTATTTAAAAAGTATGTTGATTTATGACTTTTCTTTGTTCTTTTACTATAAAAATTTCATGAAACCTTGGATATGTTGGAATGTGGAATTTGGGGAAAACTGAATCTGTGTTCCTGGCCATGGTCACTCACATTTGGCTCCAGAACAAACTATCTCATCCCTTTTGAGTTGAGAGTTATGCTTTTGTGTCCACAAAGACATCTCAACCCCTTTATGCAATGCTTGTGACCCACGGTTTTCCCTTATTACATTGTAATACTATCTAGGGTACCTCTGGAGCCACACTATAATCTCACTGGAAAAGAAAAAAGGGAGACAATTGAGTGTCCCTTAAAACCCCCTTGAGCAATGTAATTCCAAAATCCTAGGTACTAGTGGGACTCTCCGGAGACGCCCAACACCAACTCTTAGTGTGTGCCAGCCTTTCCATGAGCACATCTGTTTTTGCTAACTCCTTGAGCATAAATCTGTGCTAAAATGTCTTCCTAATAAACCCCACGCTTGCTTCATATTAGCTTGTACTGAATTCTTTTCTGCAGTGCAGTCAAGAATGCCAGCTTCAGGACTGGCAAGATGGCTCAGCATGTAAAAGCACTTCCTGCCAAGCCTGGAGTTACATCCCTAGGACCCACACATTGGAAGGAGAGCACTGACTCCCAGCTCCTGCAAGTTGTCCTCAAACCTTCACATCCACAACTGTGATGTACGTGTACACACACACACACACACACACACACACACACACAATTAAGTGTAATTAAAAATTTATTTTTTGTTTGTTTGTTTTGACAGGGTCTCCCTAGCCCCAGCCTGCCTGGAACTCACTATGTAGACCAGGGCTTAGTATCACAGAGACCTGCCTGCCTCTGCCTCCCAAGTGCTGAGATGAAAGGTGTGTGCCACCATGCCTGGCATTGATTGATTTATTTTTTATGTGTATGAGTGTTTTGCATGCATATATGTAAGGGCACCCATGTCCAATGCCCTTGGAGGCTAGAAGAGGAGTGCCCGATCCCCTGGAACTGGAGTTAAGGATGATTGTTAGCTACTATGTGGGTACTGGGTTCTCTGCAAGAGCAACCAGTGCCCTTAACCACTGAGTCATCTAAACATTTTTTAAGAAGAATGGCAGCTTCGTCTGGGTAGAGGAGGTCTTTGCTGCAGGAGGCAGGGTGGAGCTCTGTCACCACCTCACAAAGGTGTCATAATAAAACTCAATTTGTATGCAGATTTTAGAACAGAACTTTTAGGGACCAGGGAGGGGTGAAGTTGGGGCAGGAGAGCCACTTGAGGCCAACCAGGACAACATAGTTAAGTGGTATAGCATATAGGTAGTATGTCTGAGACCCTAGAAGGGACAGGGCAGTGGAAGGCAGGCTTGGTGAGAGGGGGCTGGTGAAGTTTTGTTTAACCTAGTATTGGGGATGTGGGTGCTGTCACTCTGATGCCATCAAGAACACTTAGGTAATAATCCAGAAACCTTAGTAAAATATTGTCACCAAACAGAGCTTGTCTTTTTATACCTGGAACATTTAGGACTTGTGCAGTCCCCCCACACACAGTATGTATATTTTACCTCGATAACAAAGTGAAGATTTTGTGATCAATTATGGGAGAATTATCATCTCATCAGTAAGAGAAAACACAAAGACAGAAAAACAGACCAATCCTTTTTGACTGATGTTATAGTGTATAGGAGCGTGAAGATGAAAACTGATCTGATAATTTTACTTTTAGGTATATACCCTAAAGAAAGATGTGTCATGGCTGGGAATGGAGCTTAGTTGGTTGAGTTAGCATGCTCACGGCCTTGGGTTCCATTCCCAGTACCATATAAACTGGGCATGGTGGCACAAACCTGTCATCCCAACACGCAGGAGATGGAACAAGAGGATCAGAAGTTCAAGGTCATCTTCAGCTACATAGGGTGTTCAAGGCCACCTTGGGCTACATGAGACCCTTTCTCAAAGAAAAAACAATTTCATGTGCAAAGTTTAGTGGTGGTGTAACAGGGACATTTGAAACAAATGCTAGGTAATAAATGAGGCACAATAAAAAATAGAATGATACTATAAATATTAAAATGATGCTACAAATGTTTATTTACCAAAGTCACCTATAAAAAGCATTGTATAATTACATTTGTAAAAACCCACGGTGTGTATCTTACATATATATGCATAGAAAATAGTGAGGAGGAAGGTGCACCAGAATACTGACAGGATTAAGAATTATGGGCGCTTCTTATCTCCTTATCTAAGTTTTTTCTGCCACAAGCCCCTGTTGCTTGAATAATACTGTAAGAGGAAATTCATACGGGGCAGCGGTTTCGATTCTTAGCCTCCTCCAACTCTAGTCTGCCTCATACTTGCTGGCTAAGGGGATGCAAAGGAATGTTCTGACAGATAACAATTCTGTGTTTATGAAGTAAAAAACATTGATTTCCCTCTAGCATATGCCAGAGAGGGACTGGACATTTAAAATGGGAAATGACCACTGCATCTTAACTGACAAATTGTACTTGTCAAAACTCACTCTCTGTGCAAGGGCTGAGAACAGTCCCACAGGGTCTTTACAGTGATTTTCTTTAGTAATGGAGAGACTTGTTTTCCAGGAGCTATTTCACTCTTGTTTTCCTGTAGGAATTTGTACTGTCTATGCAATTTCACAATTCCTTATAAGAAGCTATGATGATGTTTAAATGCACTCTAGAACCCTGCTGAAGGCAGAAATTCTCCTGTGTTCACTGTATTACTTCCTCAGGCTCAGGGCCCAGGCCAGTATGGAGCAGATCACAGAAATACTTGCTTCCTTGTGGTTTGAGGTACAAGCTTGCCACCCCAGAGCCTAAATGGTGTGAGGGAAAGATCCTGGGCCATCCAGTTTCCTCCAGACTGTCAGTCTCGGATCAAGTGCTCCCGTCTCTGGCTTTTAGCCTTCTCTGTACAATGAGCAGGCAAGAGGTTAATATCAAATGGGTGCTGAGGCCTCCAGCTCTAGCAGGGTGATTCTGAGAACTGGGCTAGCTCTGGTGTTCGCTTTCTGCTCTTTACCCCATTAGTGTGTGCAACGGTGCTGCAAGCCTTGTGGTGTACTGTAGCCATTATATGGTTTTTGTTTTGTGTCAAGGTGAATACATAAGGAAGAAAGAACAGTTCCCACCCTACACACACCAATATAAAATTGAGAACAAATGCATAGGACAATTGGAAAAACTGAAAAAGAAGGGCTTTCTTTCTCTCCAAGGAGAGGTCTCTGAAGTCATGTAGTCTCTGTGACCCAGACTGGGTGCCATCTTACACGTATTTCCCTGAAGGGCTGGGCTTGCCTCCCTGTCTGACGAGGGGCCTAAAAGAGAGGCAGGTGACCATCAGTTGAAGCAAGAACTTCTTCAATGTAGTATCCATCCAATCCCCCACCTCATCAGCTCTCTGATGGCTCTGAGGACTTGTCCTTGGGGTGCCAGCATGAACAGGGTAAAGGATGGAGGCCACCATTTCCTTGTCTTCACAGCACCCACAGAAGGGCTCAGCACTGTTTGGGAGAGGTTAAAGGACAACTAGGCAGCTAAGGCAGGATCTGAGCCTAGTTAGGCTTCTTGAAGCCCCAGGAAGCTGAGACATCAAGACTTAATTTTAAGTCACCAGGTGACCTGATTCTTATCTACCCACCCCACCACCATTAATCAGCCAAGCAGAGTTGTTCAGCTCAAAGTCCCCAGATTTGATGTTACACTAAAATGTGTTACTTCAGTGTCAGGTGAGCGACTCCTGAGGGGCTATTTTCTCTAAAACCCTAGCTGAGGCTGAGCTTATCACTAAGTTCATTTAACTCAGATTTAGGAATGGTTTGGATTTCTTGTGTTTGAGATGGGGTCTTCCTGTAGCTCCAGCTGGCCTGGAACTCACTATATAGACCAGATTGGCCTCAATCTCACAGAGATCCACCTGCCTCTGCCTCCCAAATTGGGTGGGACAGACATTTGAGCTAATTGCCTCCACCTCTCCTTTTTTCTCCCTGGGCTCAAGACATCAGCTCAAGGATCTGTACTGACACGGGAAAATTAGGAACTGAGGGAATTATTATGTTTAGATGGTAAAACTTGGCTTAGACCAATCAAGAAGGGAAGGAGAAAGATTTTTTTTTTTTTGTCTTTTTGAGGCAGGGTCTCCTTGTAGTTCCAGCTGGCCCTGAACTATGTAGAACAGGCTAGCCTTGAACTCACAAAGTTATACCTGCCTCTGGGACTGAAGGCATGCAGCATTATGTCCCACTGGAGAAAGATGTCTTAAAACACCCACATGGAACCATCCAGGTAAAGAGGACCTCTGGAGCCCGAGGAGCTATGCTGAATTGCAGAATACCCTCAGGTGGGTTTTTTGTGCCAGACCAAACCTGGATTTGCTAGATCATACTGCTCTCCTCACCAGCTCCTTTTCTCAAGAACAAATGCTGAAGCACTGCCAGCCTTTGGCCCCTCTTTGTTCAGGGACTAGCTGACTCTCCTGACCCGCTCCCCTGCATGACCCTCCTCCTCACCCATGAGCTTTCTCTGGGAAAGATTCATATCACCTGCCACCAGGCAGCCAGGACCACCAGGAACATGACTGCTGAGGATGAGCAGGCCTAGGGTTAAGAGACTCACCTGGGACATTTGCAAACACGCTTTCGGCTCCCTAAGAGAAAGGAAAAATGAATGACCCTCATAGCACCAAATATGGTTTTGTAGTCTTCTATATTCCAGTTTCTAGACCTGCTGTGAACGGCTACTTGCTACTTTTCCGTTCCTGCTCAGGCATCAATTAAAAAACAAAACATTGAGAATAGGGTGTGGTCTGTATTCCCAGCACATGAGAGGTGTTGGGGCAGGGAGCAGATCAGAAATTTGGAGTCATCTGGATACATAGCTAGTTTGAGGTCAGACATGGTCTGGGTGGTGGTGGGGCGTTGTAAGTGCTGATGTGGGTAAATGAAGGGGGCGGGGGGGGGGATCCGTAGATCCCGATTGCACAGTCACCTGCAGGAACTCAGATAGGAGTAAAGGGATCGTGGGGCAAATTTCAAGCCAGTCATGGTTTTGACCCAACTTTCCTGGGACGAGGGCCAAGAGCCACAGTGGTCCCCTGCCCCTGCCCGGGTTTTTTGCTGTCCTGACTGCACCAGCTGAGGGACTTTGCTGCCTCTACTGTTGGAGCACGAGCGCTGACATGAGTCAGGGAAATAGGTCTTTCCCAAAGTTCCCAGAAGGTGGAAAGAGCGGCGGGAGGGAGTTCCTGCCTCCAGACTCCAAGAAAGAAACGTCTGTGCGTGCGGGTCGTGCTCTGCAGCTGGGGAACCAAAATCTGAACGTCTCCGGCAAGGACTGCCCAGGGCGGACTTTGCAAAGCACAAGAGTGGGGCCGATTCCTCCCCTCGCTCACTCCCCAGGACTTACTCTGGTAGCAGGTGGCAGTGATGACCAGGGACAGCAGAAGGACCCCGCAGATCCCGGCTAAGGGCGCCCAGATGTAGATATCACAGGCAAAGTCCAGCTCGCTCCTCACCACTGACAACATGCGAGATGAAAATTAAGAGCTGGTGGTTCACCACCCCAGCACCTCTCCCTGCCCAGGCCTTCGGCTTAGCCCGCCCGCCGGAATCAGGGTTGTCCCTGGAAGATGTCTCCCAGGTTGTCTGCCCACCAGCATCGCGGGCCCAGCGGCCATCTCACCTGCGCCGCCCGCAGCAGGCCGGCAAGCTTCGGGGCGCAGGGACGCTGGGTGCATCCGGGTAGGGGGCACTGGTGTGGGTGGCCGCGGCGCTGGCATGGTGGTGGACTTCTCTGCAGGAGCAACGGGGTGTCTGGGGGTCAGGCTGGGGCTGTGAATGCACTGGTGCCCCAGCCGTCTCGGCTCGCTGTACCCAAGGGGGCGCCTCTTGCTGATTTTCTCCAGAGAAGGAGAAGGGACCCCCAGGATGCACGCTGAGCTCCTCTGCTCTCGGCGCTGCGTGGCCAAGAGCGCAGTGAGCCAGGGACCGCCAAGTAGGGGCCGCTGCCCTCCACCCGCACCTCCAGCAACCCGGAGCTGGAGCACAAGTTAATTTCCCTGCCCACGAGCCGACAGGTGCAGGGAAGTTAACTTGTACACAAGCATCCGAACTCGATCCCAGACTGTCAGGCATTAAATCACCTCCAACCCTACCTCACACCTTAGCCTCAGTTCCCTGGTCTGTGAAATGGAGACCGCATGGAAGTAGCCCACCCGGACCCTAACAGACTTGAAAGTTGGGCGTCTGTGCTCACATATTCAGGTGTGATCCCTAACCGCAGGCCAAGGACCCCCAGCGCTCCCACCTGGCAAGAAGACCGGCACGAGCGGACTGAAGTACAGAATCGAGTTGCTGGTGACCGAGCAGAAATAGTAGCCTTGGTTCTCCTCGCGAAAGTCGCTCAGGGTTAGGGTGTAGGTGTTGCCAATCTTCTGGCCAGAGAACCGCTTCGCATCCAGTCCCTCTGCCAGCTTGGGCCGAGCGGAGAGGTACAAGATGAAGGTGGGTCTGGCTTCAGGGTCGCGCCTCTGAAACAGCCAGGAGCAGGAGGACAACACGTTGCTCATCAGCACCTCGCATTTCAGCTCCACTTTCTGGCCAGGTTGGGCGAACACCTTCGTCGGCGTCATTCGGAACTGGCTGAAACCCTGGATTACGGTGACGTCTGCGGGTGGCAGGTAGGGAAGTTGAGTCCCGGAGCCCTGCTCGCCTCCTGTGCCTGGTCCACTGCCGCACCCCGCACCCCCACGGGGTCCGTCCACTCACCACGCAGCAGGGTCAGCGACAGAAGCCAGAAGGTCACCGGCGAGGCCATGGTGCGCTCCCCACCAGCAGCTTAGCTCCAAGCTAGGACCTGAGAGGAGGCGCCCAGGAACTCTTGGGGCGTGGAGGGGGCGGCTGCCGCCCTTTGGCTGGCCACAGAGCCCGATTTCGCTTTTGGAGGATATGATGTCACCCGAAGCCCCCTTAGAAGAGTTTCGCCCTCTTTCCTTGGTTATCACCTTCCAGGGGCCTGGGAGCCAATGGAACCCCAAGGTCGCCTTGCAGGGCTGCTGGGGACAGTTGAAACTGAGGTTGGGGATGGGAAAAAGAACTTGAAAAAGACCCTTAGAAGCAGTTCTGTTGTAGGAATGATAGAGAACAAGACAAAGACGAAAGGGGGAGGGGGAACCACGGGTGAGAGGAAAGGAAGGGAGAGGAGAGGACTGAGGACTGCACACTTTCTTATTGAGACAGAGTCTTAGGCTGACCTCTAACTTGCTGTGTAGCAGAGGCTGGCCTTGAACTCCCAATCCCCCTGCTTCTCTCACTTCTTTTGCTCTCACTCAACAGCATCTCTGACGCTGCAAAATGAAGGCTGACGTTCTGGAAGGAAGACCAGGGACCAGTTAGTTCCCCTCCAGGAGCCCCAGCAAGACAGTGTAGACCTTCGCCAGGAAGAGCCTTGTGCCTTCTACCAAGGGGACTTCCATAGGGGTGGGCAGCGCTGAGTCTTGGGTGGCACTCAGCTGCTGACAACTTCCTCTCCGTCTATTTCCCAGGGTCAAAACTCACAACCCCAGGCATCACAGGGTGGCCAGGCAACCACCTCCACACCAGCCTCTCTCCAAGCTGGGCTTCCAGTCATCAACTGTGAAAGTCATTCTTGTACAAGGGATCCAACAGTACTATTCCTGTAGCTTCCCACGACCTGAATAGCTGGATGGACATAACTTCTGACTTGGTTGGGTACTAGCCCTGGATGGGTGCTGGCTCCTCCCAGCCCTCTGTCCCTGTCCTTCTGGTGCACCTGCAGATGCAGTCTCACAGGCTCCTTCTATGTGTGCTCCCTGGTGCTTCCAAGCTATTGCACCTGCTGCTTTCTGCCTGGCATGCTCTTCTGTTTAATCACTGGGGCCAGTGCCCATGCTGTGTGACTTGGACTTCATTTCTCTCCCCTGTGCTTAAGGGGTTGTGTGTGTAAGGCATGGGCAAATGCTTGGGTGTAGGTACTTTTTCCTCTCTGTTGCTGACACACAGATCCCTTTCTTCTTGCCCACTGCAGTCCTGAAACCTGCTAGCCTCAATCATGTGCTTTCCTCCTGTTTCTCTAGGATCTCCAGAGTGGGGTCTTCCAATTCAGAATCTCATACAGGGTACACCTCACACTGCTGCTCTCTGATTCTAGCTAGAGGCAATCTGTCTGACATTTTGTGTTACACCAGTCTGTCCCACCCTTGAATTCTGCCCAGCGATAATCTGCTTGCTTCAGTTTCCAGAGTGCTGGGATTACATGCTTGAGTAGCCATGCCTGGCTTGAGCAAGCAGACAAATAGAGGATGAACTTTTATTGGCTTTTTTCAATGCCCTCCATTATCAAAGCATCCAAAATGCTTACTTCAACACAGAACATTTTATATTAGAGATTTTTTTAAGTGTCATTTTTCTTTTTAAAATTGTATTCATTATTATTGTGGGGGGAGTGCACAAGGGATATATGGTGGTCAGAGGATAACTTTGTGGAGTCAGTTCTTTCCTTTACCCTTTCATAGGTTCTGGGGAGCAAACAGGTCCTTAGAATTGAGCAGTAAGTGCTTTACCTGCTGAGCCATTAGACTAGTCCCAAAGCATCTTTAAATTACAAGAGTAATACATTCTTGAAAAATGTCAGACAAGAGACTGGGGAGATGGCTCAGTGGGTAAAGGGCATATTCTATGTAAACATGAAGACCTGAATTTGGATCCCCAGCACCCATGTAAAATGCTGGATGGGTGTGCTGGCCAACCTGCAATCTCAATCCTTAGGAAACAAAGGTAGAATTCCTGGAGCAAGCTGGCTAGCTAGACCAGCAGAGTAGATGAGCTCTGGGTTCAAGTGAGAGATCTTGTTTCAATACATAAGGTGGGGCGCAATCAAGGAAGACACCTGACATCAACCTCAGGCCTCCATGTGCGCACACACACACACACACACACACACACACGTACCATTACATATTCAAGCATGCATACACAATATACACATACCACACACATGCATATGCTAGACACATCCTGTAAATTATTTTTAAAATGTTTTATATTTATTTTTGTGTGTGTGTATGAGTATGTTGCCTGTATGTATGTAAGTGCACTCATGACATGCAATGCCCACAGAGGTCAGAAGAGGACGTCGAATTCCCCTGGAGCTGGAGTTAGATTATTACTTTTTTTTTTAATATATATTACAGATGATTTTGATGTGGGCACTGGGAATCAAACCCAGAGCCTCTGCAAGATCTTAACCACTCTCTCTTAACCACGGAACCATCTCTCCAGCCCCACATCCTATAAATTTTTAAATGTCAGACATTACAAAAATGAGTAGCGGGCCTTCTATCTCATCACTCCTCACTGTCCTCAGCTCCCCAGAGAAAACCACGGTTACAGTTGAATGTGTCCCTTAGATATCATCTGTACATAAGCAGATGTTTGTATCATTTCAAATCATATATTACGGGGGTTATATTATGCACATATATACACATTTTTCTTACTTGGTTGTACAAGAAAAACTTCATGTCAGCCGATGTAGACTCACCACATTCTTTTAAATAGATGCATTCTACACAGCTGTTCAATTTTGTTCTATTGGACCTTTAGGCAGCTTCTCATTTTATGTAATTCCTGTACTCACAGGCTGAATAGAGCTGTAGTACACCTGCATCATTGCATTGTCGATATCTTAAGCCACACAACACTTTCAATTCTAAAAACGTTTTATCTACCCATTTATTTTGTGTGTATGTGTATACACATTTGTCTTGGCACTCAAGTGGAGGTCAGAGGACGACATGTGGGGATCAGTTCTCTCCTTATACCACGTGGGACTCTGGTTATCAGCCTTGGCAGCAAGCACCTTTACCTATGGAGCCATCTCACTGACCACTCACATAATGCTTTCAAATGGAAGATGGAGGAGTTAGAGAAGGAAAAACCTTAGCAGTGACCAGCATGTGTATATGCATGCCTGTGTACATCAGTGCATATATATGTATGTATATGTATGTCCCTAGCTGGGTAACATAGTACTTCCTTTAACTGACGTGAATGAAAAGAACAAGGAAGCAGGTAGACTCAGGCCGCCCCTATATGTTGAATCTTGTTTTAGATGGCGGGTTCCCATTTGGCTGTTTTTGCTCCCACTGTATGAAGACCGTCAAGGGACCTTGCTGATCAAAGGATACAGTTGGAAGAACACAAAAGAGGATAGTAAGAGATGAAAGAATGCCTTGCCCAGATGAGGACCACACTCAACCTTTGGATATGTGGATCTTGAGAACCAAGTCCCCAAATATGATGATGGCTGGATCCCGGGGTAAAAATAGAGTTTTTCCATTTCAGTGTCCTGGAAGTGAGCTGTAGCTAGGTTTGGGGCCTTCTAGTCGTGCAGCTAAGAAAACTGCCAGCCGCGGGGTGACTGCCTCCTTTGTACAGAGCACCATGGGGGTGAGGGGAGTGCCAAGGCACCATGTCAAACCCACCAAGGAGGCTCTGTGACCCCAATGATATTTTTCACAGAAGCTGGTGGGTTCTCAATGTAACCACAGTGGCATCCGCCCTGTAGCAGGCAGGAGAGCAAATGTGACTGTTCAGTGACTGCACACCTTCCGAGACACTTGCTCTCTGGGGTCTAGGTGTGCAGAGGGCTGGAGGTGGGCCTACCCATTATGACCACATGAGCTCCTGCACTCCACCCTGTGATACTCACATGGAAAAGCAAGGGTAGAACAAAGAAATAATGACTGCACTCTGCACGACACCCCCACCCCCTTTTTTCCCCTTGAGACAAGGTCTCACTATGTAGCCCTGGCCTGGAACTCACTATATAGAGCAGGCTGGCCTCAAACTCACAGCACTTTTCCTGCCTCTGCCTTTTGAGTGCTGAGATTAAAGGCCTGTATCACCATAGCTGCCCCCCTATTTCTCAAAATAGGAGAGACAGAGTAGATGTTAGAAACTCCCAAATGAGCTTGGTTATTCTCATGCTTTTAAAACATGGGAGTGGGGGACTAGAGAGATGGCTCAGCAGTTAAGAACACTGGCTGCTCTTGCAGAGGATGGGTTCATTCCCAACACCCATATGGCAGCTAACCACCATCTATAACACCAGTTCCAGAGGATCTGACACCCTCTTCTGCCCTTCCAGGGCATTGCACAGCACAGGTACACTTACATGCATGCCCTCATACACAAAAAAATAAAAATGATAAATAAAATATTAAAAAATAAATAAAACATAGGAGTGAAATAATTGTAACTTAACATTAAGTCAGAATCACATTCAGGGTGTACAATGGCACATGCCTTTAATCCCAGCACTCAGGAGACAGAGACAGGTGGATCTCTATGAGACTGAGGCCTGCCAGCTTTGGCTACAAGTGAGACCCTGTCTCAAAAAAAGACAAAAAAAAAAAAAGTATAACTGGGCAGGCAGCAGTGGGAAAGCCCCCAGTAGCAACCTTCCCTGGGGCATTAATAGATGATGGCAGCAGCCTGGAAGGATTCATGGTTCTGATGTTGCTTGCTGTCTTCCTTATCAATACAGGTCTCCTTGCAGATAGAAAGATCCTTGAAACTCTGAAGTTATCAAGACCTTGCTTTATCTTAACCACAAATACCTGTTAAAAGTGCAATGGTCCTCCTGGGTCTAGAAGACACTTTTACCCCAATCCTCCCCAAACTCTGGCTCTTACAGTCTTTCTGCTCCATCTTCTACGATGTTCCCACAGGGAGGAGTTTGATACAGATAATCCCATTTATGGCTGATACTCCACCAATATTTATTCTCTGCAC